CTATCAATCAGTCTTATAAACTAGCTAATATCATTTCCATGTACCATCGGTGTAGGTTGAACATGAAAGACAAACGAAAGCCATGTGACACTTTTCTTGAGCTTTGAGAGATAAAACTTATCTCCATTTTGATTGAAAAGATTATTTACAGACCATCCAATGATTTTTTCAGCGTGTTCATTAAATGCGGTTAGTATTGCTATAATCAGACCAAGCGTCATATTAATATCAACAATATTGTGTTGCATAGGACACTAGTAGCTTTCCTATCCTTCTACTAGAGCAACTAACAAGTGTCTAGCGGATTTAAAATTTAACTTGTACTCAGTCAAATAATGTATAGAAAGATGTAAATCTCACAGAGATTTCGTTATTTACTCCACGGTCAGGTCAACTATTATAACCTATCCAAACTAAAATCGCACAAATATAACCTATTGGTAGAAAAGAAAGTCTCCACACAACATCATAAGGATCACACATCCATAGATTACCTTGAAGTTTATAACCCATCTACTTAGCCTTAAACTGACATCTCTCTATATCCTTTTACAACCACAACTACTACGCAATTACTTAATCTTCCCGAGTCTGAACTCAACAAGAAGACATAAGATCTACTTCGTTCCACAATTAAACAACATGAAAAATCTTTCAACACACTCTTAACTCGAAATTATACATCACATCAATCAAGCACCCAATAGTCCTTTTCACATCCTAAGCAAACTCTTTGCGTCACATTCAAACCATTTGAACACATCCACAATCACATCATACTCATAATATAGTCATCCAGCCACTCATCAAGCAACAAATTTCACTCATAGGGACACTACTAGACATAAGTCCAAAAGCACGTGCTCACACAACTGAAATCCCCGTGCTCAAGCTACAGTTAAAACTGACCTCAAGTTCTCCAGACTGGCCCTTCATCAACACACATAAATCTCATCTCGCACCTCATCCATGGAATCACAAGCCATCGATGTACACCTGATACCGAGCGCTCACATACGCATACGGGTTCATGGAAGGAATTCAAAGAATCACACTTCAAACTGAACCAATGCTGCACGATAAGGAAACAAAGATGGGAAGTTTATCTTAAATGACTTTTAGCCTCTCGAAGATAGGTATGGACGTCATCATACCATTAAGACTCTACTAGACACTTGCTCATGACTCGTAGAACCTATAAACCTAGAGCTCTGATACCAACTTGTCACGACCCAAAATCCAGCTAGGCGTGATGGCACCTAACCTAACCCGCTAGGTAATCTAGTTAACAATAAACCAATTCAAATGAATTTCATTAAGGGAAGAAATGATAATACAATTGAACTATTATACAAAGAATTCCCAAGGACTGGTAGTACAAATCATGAGCTTCTAAGATTTAGAGTTTACAAAGCTGGTACGAAATAAATACATCATATGTTTGAAACATACATAAACAGATTTATAATTCTAAAGCTACCAAGATCAAAAGGCAGCTATGACCGAAACACATGTACATCTTCAAATCCAGCTCCCGCCATGCAAACCAACATCAACATCCAACATCTGCATGCAAGGTGCAGAAGTATAGTATGAGTACAACCGACCCCATATACTCGATAAGTAACAAACCTAACCTTAAGTTGAAAGTAGTGACGAGTTGGGACAAGGGTCAGTGTAAAACTCCAATAACCAGCAACATAATAAAAATGGTACAAGAAATAACTCAGAGGTATGATGCTCAACTCGTTCACATTTACGGAAAAATAGGCATGTTTTTCAAAGATGTCAGTAAAACTCAATTTTTTTCCCAATCGCCAAAAATATGAGTAAGTCTGAAACTGTGTGTTTTCCCAAAAACCTTTCAACAATAAATAAGATGTTTCATTTTCGGATAGCATGAGAAAAGTACATCTCTATGCCTACATGTCAATATGCAAGTGAAATCATGAATGTCACCAAAACATGGTAGCATGAGGAAATGCATCTCTATGTCTATATCTCAAGTATCCATGTCAAATGCAATGCATCTTAGTGATAAACTCATGTACTCACAATCTCAGAGTACACAATATCACTATCTTACACTCTCACTCATCACGCTCAATACTCAGCACACTTAGTCACTCAGTACGGTACAAGGCAGATCCAATCCAAACATAAATAAATCCTCACACTCAATTACTCAGTAATGTATAGGGAAAATCCAGCCCAAAAATCAATAGTAATTGCGCTCACTAAGGGTGTGCAGACTCCGAAGGGGCAGATCCAGCCCAAGCGCTAATATAACCTGTTGCGGCGTGCATCCCGATCCACATTTATATAGCCATAAGACTTGTTGCGGCGTGCAACCCGATCCACATATATCGATAATACCTTATGCGACGTGAAACCCGATCCCATCATGAATCAATAATACCTGTTACGGCGTGCAGCCCGATCCTATAAACATCCTCACAAACAGGCCCTCGGCTTCACTCAACCATCAATCTCTCAAGTCTCTCGGGCTCACTATGTTATGAAAATCAAGCCCAAAATAATGATGTGATGTATCAATAAATGGTAACAGAGACTGAGATATGATATGCAGATGAATGTGTAAGACTGAGTATGTAATTGCAACGTAAGCAAATAACTCAATAGCATAAACGACCTCAGTGGGTCCCAACAGGATAAACATATAACCTAGAAATTATTTCTAATATGGATCGCCACTTAATTACTCTAGCACGTAGAAATTTCATAGATACAAATAAGATTAGAGAACTACACACTACCACAGAAATAACCGAGTCACAACTCGTACGGTACATGCCCGTCACCTAGCATGTGTGTCACCTTAACACCAAATACATATCACGTATATTCAGGGGTTCATACCCTCAGCACCAAGTTTAGACGTGTTACTTACTTCGAACAAGCCAAATCCAATACCGAGCAAGCGAAATGATACTAAAAAATTCCATCATGTACGTACCAACCTCCAAACAGCTCGAAACTAGCCAAAAGTAACTCAAATACATCAAATAAAGCCTAAGGAAACAATTCCAAATGATAAAGGTTGAATCTTTAATCAAACACTCAAAGTCACTCAAAAAGTCAAACTCGAGCCCGGGCCTCAGAACCCGATGAAAATTACAAAATCCGACAATCCATTCAATTACGAGTCTAACCATAGTAGTTTCACTCAAATCCGAGATATTCAAAACTCAAAACTTCACTGTATGAAACTATAGATAATAACCCCCAATTTCTCTCTTGAAATCCTCAATCAAATGCCAAAAACAAAGATACAATCATGAAATATAACCAAAAATGAGTAGAGAACACTTACCCCAATCCATATGGTAAAAAATGCTCCAAAAATCGTCTCAATCCGAGGTCTGTAGCTCCAAATATGAATAAAATGACCAAACCCTCGATTTAAAGCTTCTGCAAAGCCATTTTCGCTTTTGCGAACAAATGAACCACTTCTGCGGCGTCGTTTTTGCGACCACAAATGTTTTTTTGTGACCACGACTAACTTGCAAACCCTCGCACCTGTGGCACAATTTATGCTTCTACGGCCATCGCAGGTGCGAGCTCCTTTTTGCTCATGCGTAATACCTCACTTCTGCGCCCATGACCCTCGCTTCTGCGAAGTCACAGATGCGACTCAAATTTTGCATCTGCGAAGACTCCAAACACTGTCTTCTCCCGCTTGTGCGACCAATTGTTCGCATCTGCGAGCTCGCATCTGCGTCCATCTTTCTGCAGATGCGGAAACACCAGAACCAGTACAAACCAGTCTTAACCAAAATTTCCAAAATGATTCGAACCATGACCAAAACTCTCTCGTGCCTCTCGGAACCCCGTCCGAATATACCAAAAAATCTCATATCATAACACGGACCTACTCGAGGCCTCAAATCACGCATAACAACATCGAAACGCCGAATTGCACCTCAAATCAAACTTAATGAGCTTTCAACTTCCAAAACTAGTGCCGAAACATATCAAATCAACTCGGAATGAATTCAAATTTTTAACACAAATCCCAAATGAAATGAAAAATCTATTCCAATTCCCGAAACCACAATCCGAATCTGATATCCTCAAAGTCAACTCCCGGTCAAACTTATGAACTTTCCAAACCTTCAAGTTTTCAACTTTTGCCAAGTCGCGCCGAAACCTTCTAGAAATCTCCAAATGCAAATACGGAAATACACCCGAGTCCAAATCACCATCCGGACCTAACGAAACTATCAAAACTCCGAACCGAGGTCAAATACTAAAAAGTCAAACTTGGTCAACTCTTCTAATTTAAAGTTTCCTAATTGAGAATCATTATTCCAAATCAATTCCGAATAATTTAAAAACAAAAACCGATGATTCACACAAGTCATATACATCATACGATGCTACTCAAGACTTCAAATAGCTAAACAAAATGCAAATGCTCAAAACAACTGGCTGGGTCGTTACATTCTCCCGCACTTAAGCATACGTTCATCCTCGAACGTGCCAAAAGTCATTCCAAAGCCATCAAATCGTCGTGTAACCTTACCATGCATATACCCGGGGTGATCCCACATCACCCTAATCCGTATAAGCCCGATGACACAACTTAACTGAAGATCCTTAATTTAACTTTAGCCTATAAACCTTAGAATCCGATTTCCAACATCCAAATTTCCTATAAGACCCGAATCTCGCATTTACACACCGTATAAGTCGGAACAAGCTGCATCAAGCCATAACCATAACCCAAGACACAATCACATGATATACCACATAACTCAAATACTCATAGCAATAACTTCCGATCGCAATAGTTGCTCGATAACCAACCCAATACCGGTAACAAATGTCATATCAAACAAACTGTCATGACCCGTATCAGAGGGCCATGACTGGCACCCGGTGCCTACTCAACTGAGAGCCACGTACCTTATTCCTTTTTTCTTCTACAAAACTTATCACGGGCCATGATAGGCCATATCTATATATGTAATTAATAATATTAGAACTTAACTCATATAACTAATTCAAAAAGATTTATATAGATACATAGGGGCTGACAAGGCCGTTGACATGTCATAGCTAAAGCTATACACAGGACACTGTCTGCAAAACCTCTAAGAAAACATGACCATAACATATAAGTTGGGACAGGGTCCCTAACATCCTTATAAAACAAAGTAACATATATAGAACGTGACTTGACAATACTCTAGGAAGATGTGGAGCTCACCAACCAAAAGCTGATATCTGGAGGCAGCCTACAATGGATGATCCTCACCTTGCCTATCTACACCTGCGTGGCATGAAGCACAGTGCCCCAGAAAAAAAAAGGCGTTAGTACGAAGAATGTACCGAGTATGTAAGGCAGCAATGAAATGTAATAATAATAAGATATTATCTCGGGGGAGAGATAAGAGTCAACTTATAACTTCTGACTTGTCGCTGAGGGCCGTAACATATAGAATAAAATCCATATCGTATATATAAATAAAGTTACAATACAATAGTTCTAGTTACCTCATTTTTGTAACGTTAACTGCCCAACTGATCAGTGGTAACTGCCCGATTGACCGTAGCTCGGTGGTAAATGCATAACTGCCCAAGCGATGATAAATAAATAATAATACATAACTATCCAACCGGTGGTAACTGCCCGACCAGCCGTAGCTCGGTGGTAGATGTATAACTGCCCAATCGGTCGTAGCTCGGTGGTAAATATTACAACGTCACCACTAGTTACATATATAAATACAATATCTGAAGAGCCTTTTAGGATAATTAGAATATCTTTCAAAGTGACTTATAGTCGTTTACTCCCGACATGTACCACTAATTATGAAAAATAGTAAATACCCGATAGAATAATCGCAAGTTGACCCTAACACCACCATTTTAAAAAACAATATGGCAGCATTGTTGCATCATTTGGCATGCAACATTTGGTGTAGGTTTCTATTTGGACATAAATATATTCCTCAATTGAAAACTAACTATCAGATTATTTATTTTGATTACTTGTTAAGGAAAGAACACCGTATTTGGAAATAGAAGTTATCCGATCCTTAAAACAAAAATTAAGAAACCAACATTCTTGCATCTATAATAACAACTAATGGATTAAGAATATCATAGAAGTTAGCACTATATATATATATATGAACTAACATCATCCACATGCGGTCAATAAGAATCAAGCATCAGTGCCATGAGTAAGAGTTTACATTATAAAAGACAATGAACAAAAGCTTTCTGTATTTACTAGGAATAATATCATGTTTTAGTATTGAGTTTGTTTACACGCCATAGTTGGAGTCATGCCAAAAGGAAAAAGGATAGATTTAACATACCTGGAGTAGGAAAAACTCCGTATAATACTTTTGGAGAAGATTTCACCGTACTTCTATATAACCGCAAAAATTGGATGGACTTTTAGCTTCTGTCCTTGTAGTATTGAACTAGGAAAGACATATGTTTCTTGATTTTGAATTAAGAACAAAATATGGACTTTAACTTCTGGTCTTAGAAGCAACTGGAACTTGGAAAATGATATTGCATTAGGAACATTTTTCCTTCTTTTGTCCAAATGAAAGAATGAGATAACACTTATCATAAGTCTTTACTTATTAATTCCAAATAAATCCTAGATAGACACCTAAGACTATATGACTACTTAGTCATTCTCTAGATTTGTGGCTTTTTGCCAAGTTTTTGGGGGTGTATTTTATTAATTTTTATCCATTTATTAGTTAACTGGGTAATGTCCCGTTACCCGGTAATTAACCAATTACTCGCATAATTTAAAAATTACTTCAAATTACTTAAAATTATACTTATTTTTAATATACTTTATACATCATACTATCACGTCCATATGGTACCTTGTATGATACTAGTCCATAATTATCGGGTATTATCGCTCGACCCGTATTTTATCCCAAATTGGCCACTTTCAACGAAACTCGTTTTCTTTAATTTGTGTACCCTTTATCCTTCTTGACACTTACTTATTGCTTGTTATAATTAGCATAAATACGTTAACCTCAAGATAATCTCATCCCCGAGTCTACGTCAATTAACGGAAGACGAAACTTTAACGTACGAAAATGCGAGATGTAACATCCTTCCCCCTAGAAATATTCGTCCTCGAATGTTTAAACTTGCAAGATGTACATACATATCCATCTATTATAAATGTATATATCTTCCCGGGCTAAACTCCAATGAAACAAATAGCAAGCTCTCACGGGGTCAGGACGTCGTCCCTCCCTAAAACTACTTCCTAATCAATTCGTCACCTATGATTCTGTTAATATATCTTCTAGGTGCTGTCACCTATTAGTTGTAATCTTAATAACTGGGTTCATGCTTTCCTTTCAAAGCTAGCCTTGGTTTCCCTTAACCCTTCTGGCGCAATGCCAACTTACTCTTACATTAATCATATTAAATGGACAATTTGCGTTAATAAGATCGAACATTACCAATAATCACAATACCTGACACATCATCCGGTGTAGCCTCTGGGTCCTGACAACCTGCCAAAGCATATATGCGGTTCTGACTACCGTCAGAGCTAGATGCTCCATCCCTGACTCTACCTCTACCAGTTGATGCCCGATGGCCTCTCTCTTGAGAAGAGGAGGATACTGTATAGATCTGGTGGGCTGAACCATCCCGCTTATGTTATTCATAGCGCAATCCCCCATGTAATGACTAGGGTCTCCACATGTATAACATATATTAGATCCCTGACGACATTGTCCAGAATGAGCTCTACTGCATTGACTGCACCGTGGAGGAGGCGCCCTCATCTACGCTGAATCCCTCCGATTCTAAAAACCCAAAATTCTCGAGCCCTGACCTGATTCAGAATAGACAGATCCCTCATAATACGACTTCTGCAGTTGTCAGATACTTTCAATAGGATATGGTGACATAGGATCGCCCGAAAAATCCTCAGGTCGCCTAGCAGACCTGGCCTTCTTACGCTGACCCTCATCACGATTCTCGTATTGTTGTCATTATCAGTCCTCCAAATTTTGAGCATAAGCCTGGATGCCAGAAATATCCATACCATCGAGCAGAGCGGCTGTGGAGCATTCATTAATCAGGTGCGGCCCAAGTCCTATGACAAACCGATACACTTGATCACTCATTTCAGCCACAATCTAGGGGGCATACCTTGCCAAGGAATCAAACTGGAGACTATACTCTTGCACACTCATATTCCCCTATTTAAGAGACAAGAACCTGTCTACCCTTGCTTGATGAATCTCTATTGGCAAGTAATGACACAAGAAATCCCCTGAGAACTCTTCCCATAGTGCTGGAGATGCATTTGTCCCTCTAGACAATTCCCAAGTTTCTTACCACTGAACCACAACATCTCGCAATAGGTATGAGGCCAACTCTACTAACTCAGTGTCCGATGCATGCATTACCCTCAAAGTCCTCTGCATCCTATCAATAAAGTTTTGCGGGTCCTCATCCTTATTGGATCCAGTAAACTCTGGAGGGTCCAGGTTGATAAAGACTCAAACTCTCGCGCTAATAACCCTGTTAACGTGACCAACATTTGTACCTACCTAGTGCTGAGCCTGAGTGGCTACCAACCTAGTCAACAACTGTACTGCACTCCGCATATCCATATCCTCATCCAGAACAATAGGTGGAGGTACTGGGTTCCTCATCATCTCCTCGGGTGTTGACAAAATCGGAGAACTATGCGAGGGTGTCATATTTCCCCTCAGGGCCTCACTTTGGACCTCACTAGACATTGGTACTCTACTCATGCCCTCATATGCCACTACTTTACCCTTTTGACTAGCCGTAGCGTTCCAAGTCATAGACATTGCTGCATATATAAAACAAGTCAAAGATCAAGGGCTTTGTTCCCTATAACTTTGCTCTATTACACGATCTAATATCAAGAAGAAAGGGTAGCCGGTCCCTAAATGCCCTGTAGTTTCTTGCTTATATAACGTGGTGGACAACACATTTATAAACAAGACTTTACTAGACACGGCTTGCAGACAACCCTAGGACAGAACTACTCTGATACCACTTTATCATGACCCATATCAGAGGGCCATGACTGGCACCTGGTGCCTATTCAACCGAGTGCCACGTGTCACACCTCCTTTTTACTACTCCGGAAGGGTATAAGGGAGTTTTTCCAATTTAAGTGACAATCAAAATGGGATTATTTATATTAATCAGAGTCTCCACTTGGGATAATTATGGTGTCCCAAGTCACCGGTTTAAAATCCCGAATCGAGGAATTTTGACTCATTTTTACAGTCCACAAAACACAGAAATCCGGCTAAGGACTTCTGTTAATTCAGGAGAAGGTGTTAGGCATTCCCGAGTTCCGTGGTTTTAGCACGGTCGCTTTAATCATACTTGGCTTAATTAAATTGTCTAATTACATGTTTAAGAACATATGTACATTTTTACCTTTTACCACTTTTAATTAAGAATTTATCCTAAAGCAAGTCACACGTACGTGTACTCATTCCATTTTGCATATAAAAAATCATGTCACACGTACGTGTCCACAATTAATAATGCTTTATTATTATTAAGCAATTTTGGTCAAAGTTGTGCGAACACATACTCCGGGTTTGTTTTTAGATAGATTAAGTCTCACCTAAAACATTTTCTACGAATATTCATTTTTTTTAAAAACGTACTCGTGTTACGCGAATGTGTACACAACTAATAACATTTTATTATTATTAAGATTATTTGACCAAAGTCACGCGAACGTGTACCTTGATTTTGGTCATGTAACTTGTCATGTATCAATCACAAAGGAATGAAACCAAACATATAACCGCAAAGCCTTAAATATGTCATACAAATTCAAAGCTACTAGTAGAAAGAAATGAACCATATATGTTCCTATGCATAGATTTAATAATTTATACTTCAAGTGGCAAAGCCAAGAAACAGGGTTGGAGATCACAAAATGCAAACAGTTAATTAGATTCATAAAATGTTTATGACCTTTTTAAAAAGTTTATCTATTTTTATGTATTTTAATTAGACTCAACAAATTAGTCTTGGGTTTTTAAAAGAAAATAACACTGTAGGCTGTAGCAATCCTCTTGATTAAGACAGTGTTAGAACACGCACAACACTCTTTTATTCGAATAGTGAAAGGAAGAACAGAGAACAAAGCTCATAGTTACTAGTAAACACATGTTTCAAATGCATTGCATCAATTAATATCAACTCATGAAATCTAGCAATTCCAATTATGTAACTCAAATGTTAATGTAGAGATCTGGTGTGTACCTAGTATTCAAAAGCCAACTTGAGAAGCCACATAAAGGCTAAGAGAAACAACCATGAATTTGATGTCACCGTTGATAAGCAACCACAACAGTAATTTTTGCTTTTGAAGAAACTTTCGATTAACGAAAAAGTACAGCAGCTACAATAGATGGAAAGCGCAGCTATGAGTGAAACTCGAATAGCGACCGAACTCGAATGACAACAGTAAAGAACTAGATCCACGTTTTCATTCCCAAAATCCCAGTAAAGGAGATCGAACCCAAACCAAAATAGAGAACCATAACTAAAGCTAACGAATGGAAAGTCTGACGAACTCGAACTCGATGGCAATCGAACCCAACTTCAGCGACTCGAACCACGACCAAATAGCTGCTCGTACTTGAATAGTTTGAGAGCTATTTACGAGGTGTGGCTGCTGCTGTATGCGTTTGAGCAGAAATGAAAAAGGGGGTCAGTATCCACTGGCTTCTGTCCAGTGGTCGTTTTTGGTGTTCGATTTTCTGAAGAAGAAGGGGTAACGGTTATGGGGGCTATTTTTTGGAGTTGCCGCTGGTTGGGGTGTGGTGGCAACGGACTGGTTGTTGAAGAAATGTGGGGTGANTCTGTTCTCTATTGCTTCTTCAGATTTTTTTTTTGTATAGGTTAGTCCAAATCAGAAAAAGAACGGCGAATCTTTTTTTTCTCTCTCTAGGAATTTCTAGGATGTCTATTAAAGGAAGAAGGGTTTTTTAGGGTATTAGGTTTAATGGCTATTGGGTATTGTGCTTAATTTAGGAGATTAGGGTAAGTCCATGTCTTGTTGGGTCTTAAAATTGGGCTCTAAGACTCCAAAATTATTGTTCAAAACCATAGCTAAATTCCTTTAATATAAGATAACTATACTACATAATGCAAAACTAATTCTAATTATTAAACTAAACTATATTATAAAATGAAACTATTATATTTATTTTTTGTATTTTCATGATTATATAAAGATAAAAATAAGGTACTATTTTTTGTATTTTTTTTAATTTTATGAAATGTACATAAAATAAAATATTTTCTGTAATTTTTATTTTGTGACAAAGTAAAGTAAAAGAGTTAAAATTAGTTGAACTAACCATCTTAGACCTAAATAAGTATTTAAATGCTAAAATATGTAAAATCTTGGGGAGGGTCAAAAATTACATGTCTACAGCTTCCCCTCTTTGACTGAAAACGCGAAGTATTTTCAGACAAAGAACGACTAGACATGTTTTTTGACCTGACCCTTATTTAGAGAGACCAAAAGTTAAAAAAAAAAGGAGAATGTGACTGAGCCCTGATATCTGAGCTGCATATATATCCTTGGCTATAAAGGAATCAGGTCACGTGTAGTTCAGAAGTAGGAATAGTGATGAAGTATACTAAGGTGGAGAGCCGATCGAGGTGTTGTTCCGTCGAGGTTCCGGTCTGCAGTCCTGTTATTACACCAAAATCAAAATTGAAAAAAACTAACTATGCCTGTCAACTATGAGTTACAAGATTCCTATATATAAGTCTTCTGAAGCTTGATCTTGAGTCTTGAATGGTTCTTCATGTAGACTTTAGATTTGAACCATGACGCTTGCTAGTTGCAGGTGCTAGTTCATTCTTCTTCAGCTTTTCGGATCAAAATCGGACACACCATGCTTGTGACTTCAGTCATGTCTTGAGCAATCTACCTCTTGTACCAGCTTTTACATTTTGTATTCACTTTCCTTTTCTTTTTTCTTTTTCTGTTTTATTTTGGATTGAGATTACTTCTGTTAATCATCTCGGACTGTTGACTCGCATTCTTGCCATGAGCTTCTACTACTTCTAATTTGAATTGAATTCTGAAATGACTTCCCTTGTTCTCCAAGTGGGCGCCTCATGCTGAATATTATGAAATGGATTTAGTTGTTTTCCAAGTGGTTACCTGATTGCCAAAACTTGAACTATATTCCCTTGTTCTCCAAGTGGGCGCCTCATGCAAAAACTTGAACATTATTCCCTTGTTCTCCAAGTGGGCGCCTGATTGCCAAAAATTGAACTGTATTCCATTTTCTCCAAGTGGACGCCTGATTGCCAATACTTGAACTGTATTCTCTTGTTCTCCAGGTGGTCGCCTGATTGCAGAAACTTGAACTGTATTCGCATGTTCTCCAGGTGGGCGCCTGATTGCCAAAAATTGAACTGTATTCCATTTTCTCCAAGTGGACGCCTGATTGCCAATACTTGAACTGTATTCTCTTGTTCTCCAGGTGGTCGCCTGATTGCAGAAACTTGAACTGTATTCGCATGTTCTCCAGGTGGGCGCCTGATTGCCAAAACTTGAGCTGTATTCCCTTGTTCTCCAGGTTGTTGCCTGATTGCCAAAACTTGAACTGTATTCCCTTGTTCTCCAGGTGGGCGCCTGATTGCCAAAACTTGAACTGTATCCCCTTGTTCTCCAGGAGGGTACCTGATTGCCAAAACATAAACTGTATTCCCTTGTTCTCCAGGTGGGTTCCTGATTGCCAAAACTTGACTGTATTCCCTTGTTCTCCAGGTGGGCGCCTGATTGCCAAAAACATGAACTGTATTCCCTTGTTCTCCAAGTGGGCG